CAAGGCCAATGATTGAACCAATCAAGCCTATGAAATGAAGCCTCCCTCAAAACCCAAAAAGGAAAGGGTGCGTGAACATGTGGAGATACAGGAATGGCACCCCAGAGGGAGCACAGAAGCTCCACACCCCTTCCCACATACCTCACCCCGTGCATCTCTTCCATTCCACTGTTACTGAGTTATGTATCCTTGTATAATAAACTGGTAATCTAGTAAGCAAAATTTTCACTGAGTTCTGTGAGCTACTTTAGCAAATTAACTGAACCCAAGGAAGGAAGGGGTGGTGGGAACTTCTGAAAATTATAGTCTGTGAGTCAGAAGCACAAGCTGGCCTTGTGACTGGCATCTGAAGTTGAAAAGTGGGGAATCTCACAGTACTGTGCCCTTAACCTGTGGAACATGATATCATCTCAAATTAGATGGTATCAGAATTGAGTTGGATTGTTTGTTGGTGTAAGGGAAGCACCCTCCTGGCCACATTGGAAATTGAGTATCAGAACACCAGAAGAACAATATACCAGCAAATCAAACCCTGCAAAATATAAAAATGATTACAAACTATTATCTAGTATGATTTATCCTAGGAATGTATGTTTGGTTTAACATCTGAAAATCAATTAATGTAATATATCATATTAATAGGATATTAAAGGACAAAAAACACATGATCATCTGAATCAACATAGAAAAAACATTTGACAAAATTCAGTACCACTTTATGACCAAAAAAACACTTAAAAAACTAGGAATACAACTTCCTCAACCTGGTAAGAGGAATCCACAAAAATCCCCATAGCTAAAATCATACTAATTCTGGAAGACTGAAAGCTTAGCCCAGCATCAGGAACAAGACAAGAATGTGTACTTGCCCCACTCCACGCCATACTAAGAGTTCTAGTCGGGGCAATTATGGAAGAAGAAATAAATGGCATTCAGACTGGAAAGGGAGAAATAATACTATTTCTACTGCAAGATGACATGACTTTTTATATATATAAAATTCCTAAGAAATCTATTAAAAAACTATTAGAACTAGTAAAAGAGTTTGCAAGATTGAAGATACAAAATCAATACATAAAAATCACATTTCTAAACACTATCAATGAATAACATGAAATTAAGAAAACATTTCCACTTATAACAGCAACAAAAAGGATAAAATAGGAAAAAAATTAACAAAGGTGTAAGACTTATACACTGAAAACTACAAAACATGCAAATAAAAATCTAAATAAATGGAAATTTTTCCATGTTCATTAATCATAAGATAATATTGTTAAAATAGCAATACTTCCCAAAGTGAAATTTGTAGATCCCTGTCAAAATTCCAACTACCTTTTTGGCAGAAATTGACACACTGATCCGAAAATTCACAAAGAAATGTAAGGGACCCAGAATCATCTAAAAATAACAAAATTACAAGATTTACACTTCTCTATTTCAAAGTTAACACAGCTAAAATAATCAAGACAGTGTAATACCAGCATTAGTATAGACATATAGATGAATGGAATAGAATGGAGAGTCCAAAAACTGTTATGTCCACGGTCAATTGATTTTTCAGAAGGGAAAGTGTGAATGGAAAATGACAGCTAATGGATATGGGGTTCCTTTTGAAGGTGGTAAAAATGTTCTAAAATTAGATGGTGGTGATGGCTGAACAACTCTAAATATATTAAAAGCCACTAGTTTGTACACTTTAAATGGATACATTTTATGGCATGTGAATTTCATTTCACTAAAGCTGTTTTCCAAAAAAGAGTAAGAGAATGTTATGAACTTCATGCCAATAAATTTGATAATTTAGATGAAACAATCCTTTGTACACCTTACATTTTCCCTGTTGAATAATTTTATCTTTTTGTTGCTATTATAAATAGGGTATTTTTTTCATTGTATCTCTTAACAAACAAATCATTTATATATATATTTCTGTATATTAATATTGTACCCAGCTACTTTATGCTGAATTACCTTAATGCTTAAAATAGTTGTTAGTTGGCTTTCTCTCAAGATGGCAACATGAGTAGGGTGTGGAAATCTCCTTCCAAAACCATATATACTTTGAAAATACAGCAAATACAACTATTCCTAAAAGAGAGACCAGAAGATACAGTACAACACCCAGGCTACATCTCCAGCTGCAAGAACTCAGCATCTCACAAAAAGGGTAAGACACAAAACTGTGACCCGGAGGAACGTGGGCACTCCCCCCACCCCAGCTCACCAGTGGGAGGAAAAGAATCAGAGTGGGGAGGGAGTGCAAGCACAGGACTGCTAAATAACCAGCCCTAGTAATCTGCACTGGGAGCACAGACACACATTGCATGGTGTACTGGATATTAGAGAAACAGAAAAGTAAAATCCGAGATGGAGACTGCAAGTGGGTCCCCACAGCCGGCAACCCTGGGACAAAAGAAGAGTGGGTGCTTTAAAAGTCTTAAAGGGACAAGGGCTTAACAGGTGGACAAAATCATCCTGGCACACTCAGCCCAGCAGGCTGGGGATTTTAAGAAACTTCAGGTGCCCTAACCCCCTGGGTGGCAATGCAGCTCTGAAGCCCCTCACAGTGATAAACAGCCTGCTGTTCATTACCCACCGCCAGCACTGCAAGCAAACCAGCTGACCTGCCATTGCTGCGGACCAGCCGGGGAGCAGCCCCACCCACAGAAACCACACAGTTTTCTCCCAGCATGCAGCTAACTGGGCCAGACCCAGAGGCTACAGCCTACACACAGCTGCCTGGCACGGGCGGAGGAAGCCAGGGCAACATCTGGAAGGCATGAAGGGGCGCCGTTCTCACAGGAGAACACACGCTGTTCATCTGCAACCCCTGCCAGTGTCCTAGGCTATCCCGAGGG